ATTTGACTGATGGCATGTATATTGCTTCTTTGCCTTGTGTTGAGTTCAATTATAAGATTTGGTTGCTTGTTAGACTTGTGAGCTCATTATATGTGGTTAAATATTTTCAGATGAAGACAGAAGATCAGGAGTGTGAGATTGACCATGATTCCTTGGGTTTTGTTTCTTTTTTATTGCTTTAGCTATTCTTTTGTACTTATGATAACGTAGTTGTTGTACAATTGTAAAGCTCCTGATTAGTGTATATGATTTTTTTGAAAATGAATACAAATATATATATTGATGTTTTGATTGATAGTTTTATTTATGCTACTATTTCGATTGATAAAAAAAATTAGATAGATCTGATTGTATACATTAAAAGATAAAAAAAAAATTCCAAATTAGATTATGGCATCACTACCACCGCCATACCTCTATTAGGTCGATCGTAGTCGAACCACTACTTGGCCACCAATTGATGATAAACCTCTGCCTGACCGTCACCAAACCTCATCCCGATCGCCATCGGATCTCTGCACGGCCACCAACACCTGTGGGATATTCTTACAACCGTTGTTACTAGACTTTGAGCTTCCATCATCTGACCAAGGTCAATACACGCTCCTGAGTACCTATACAAAGTTCAACCAACTCTCCAAACTATTATAATTTGACTGAATCCAAGTTAAAAGACAAGCCAAGCTTTGTAACTCACTCTAGTATAGTGGAATCTTCTCACCTAGGCAAGACCCTATAGTTTTAACCACCACTATATGCACAAATTCAATTTTTAGTATTATACACAATTTTTTTAAAAAGTAATGTGTTGGTCTTTCGTTACCGTCACTACCACCACTAGTCTCCGCCACCGCCGACACACTAACCACCATCGTCGCCGGCCACCTTCAATCAACTATCTAAATAAATTGCTACTTTACTTTGTATTTCCTTACTTCAAACTAAACCAAAAAAAATTATAATCCTGATTTTTTAGTGTATTCGATCAAATAAATCAAAAATATTTTTAATATACTATTTTTTTATCAACCCAAAAAACTCCTTAGTGAATTCATTAGTTAATTATGAACATGACTAATTAATGAGATGATGGCCTCAGCTAAGGTAGGTTAAGCCCATCTGTGGTGCCCTAATATTTTTTTCTTATTTGGAGTCAATGTATAATGAAATACCATATACTAGTCATTAGGCATAAGAACATAAATCCTCTCACACTTTCGTTTCGGCCAATCCACTAGGGCTTTACCCTAGCTTTTCCTTCGCGGTTGCTGGAACACTCTCCGGTGGGTTGCTTTCATTGCTTATCCAGGGAAGTTTTCTTTTCTTTTCTGGTTCGCTTTTGTTTGTTGGTTATATCTTTTTCTTCCGGCGTGTGCCGGGATGACGTCGAAGCTTTGCGACACTGGTTTTTTAGGGGGTTCGTCTTCTTCGCGTTCGTTTTTGGATGTTCTTCTGGGTTCTTCTTCTGTTAATGAATTTCCTGAGCTTAGGACATCCCCTTTTTGTGGTTTGCCTTCCCTTTGGTCTAATCAGGAAATTCAGGCTTTGACTGTTCCTTCTCAATTCTCTTTGGTTGATTTTTTTCTACCAAACCATCATCTCTTGATACCATTCGTAGATTTTTTCAACCTCAAGCTAAATGGGAAGGTTTCGGTCACCTTACTGGATCCATCACATGTTCTCATCAAGCTTACAAATGACATTAATTATTGTCGGGTTTTCTGCCATATATTGTATTTGGTTTATAATTGCTACATTAAGCTTACCAAGTGGTCTCCCCTTGTTAATGCCGGTGTTGAGTTGCCGGTCATCCCGATTTGGGTCTCTTTTTCGCAACTGCGCCCTCATCTCTTTTCTCCCCACATTCTTTATGGTTTAACCTCTCTATTTGGCAAACCATTAAATATTGATGCAGCCACTTCTATGAGTTCTAGGCCGTCTTTATCTTGTGTTTTAGTGGAGCTGGATATCACTAAATCCTACCCTTATAATGTTTGGTTAGACTCGGAGAAGCTCGACTATGTCCAATAAGTTGATATGGATGAATTCCCACAATTTTGTGCTTCTTTTCGTAGTATCGGGCATGTTGTTGGAAATTGTCATCCTACTCCTGTTGTCCCGATCTCTGCTGAATTGCCCTATTCTAAAAAAGCTCCTATTGAGGTTTCTGTGAACCCCGCTTTAATTATTTCGTGGTGGGGGGGTCTGTGAATGAGGTGGTTGTTGGTCCTTTAGATGTAGATCTTCCTGAGCTTAATGTTGAGAATGATGTGACCTCTGCGGATGTTAATCCTAATATTGCTAATTTGCCTTTAGTCCAACTTGACTCTGTTGTGGTTTTAGAGGGGGTAGCTCCTGCTGCTCTGGCCCCACAGTTATGTGCGAGTGAAGCTGTTGTCTTGAATTGTGGTTTAAATTCTAAACCTGTTTTATTTTGTGAGGATAATGTCTGTGCCCCATGTGTTCTGGCTGAGGAGGGTGTGCCTTATGGTTCTCCTGTTTCGACTTGTAGGAAACTTAGTGATAATGTCATTTCCCTTTGGATGGCTGTAGTGAGTCCTGAGGTTGTTTCCTCCTCTGTTAACTTGGTGCTGATTAGGTAGGTTCATGATCTTTTGGGCTCTACTCTTAATGATGGCTTTAAGGCCAATGATAACTTTGTAAATGTTCCTATTTCAGCTATGTCTAATGTTGATATGAAATCTCATATGACTAAGTCTGGGAAAAATGATTTCTTGTTTCAAACTGATTGGTTGATTTTGGAGGATTACTTTTCTTTTGAGGAATTGGATCCGAATTTTGAGGAGGAATTAGTGGATCATTCTATCAATCATGGTTCTCTAAATGTGGGTGGTAAAAAGCATAAAAATAAAGGCAAACAGAAATAGTTGGTTTTTGGTGTTTCTGTGGATTTTGAATGGTGTTGGACGATGATGAGGAGGTCCCCTATCCCCTTGCTGGCTGGGCTGGTTGGCAACCTGGGTGCCTCGTTCTTTTGCTTGGTGATCTCTCGACCCTGATCCCTTACTGGCACCTTAGGATGGTCCGTGTTTGGCTGCAAGTTTGGTGTGGGGACCTCTCTAATGAGTCCCTCTTCGCTATGTATCCTTCTATATCTGATTGTTTTTTTTTTTAATCTTAATGTCTTGTACCACCGGCTGTTGGTATTTCTTGGTGTAAACTTTTTTTTATTGAATAAAATTTTGGTTTTGTTAAAAAAATGTACAATGAAAACAAGAGGGCCATTTGATTGAATTGCACTCTTTATCATATTATACTTTGAAGGAAAACATTATTTATTTATTTATTTTACAATTTTTTATGAAAATAAATTATGTGCTTTGTAATTGGATATTGTTAATTTTTTTTTTCATCACATTTAAAACATTTTATTTATTTTACATAATTATAAAACAAAAATCTTCAAATATTTTTAAGCACATAAGACTATAAGAGCCCATATTTAATTCTTTCCTCAAAATAACTACCTTCTTATAAATAAAATTGAGTCACTTCTACATACGCATCTTCACAGGCCATCAATAAATTTAAAGTAATTCTCGCTTTCTTAACTCTTAGAGACATAATACAGAATGAGCATATACGTGAAAAGGTTAGAGTTGCTCCAGTGGAAGATAAGATTATAGAGAGTCGCCTTAAGTTGTTTGGCCACATAAAACGGCGGCCTTCCACTGACCCAGATAGGAAAGTAGATGTATTAGATTTGCTTATGTTAAGAATGATAGAAATAGGCATAAAAAGACTTGGTTAGAAAATATTAGAAATGATTTTTCTTTATTAGATTTAAATTAGAATTTAACTTTTAACTGAACACAATGGAGAAAAAGGATTCATGTAGCGGACTCCACATAACGGGATAAAGATTTGATGTTATTATCTCACCTTCTTAACTCACAATCTATAATAATTTAGTAGTTGAGTTAATATATAAGGAATATATGAAACATACAATCACATGAGATTATTAATTAGCTTACTCTTCCCACTAATATCTCTCTCTTGGTGCCAATATATTAAGAATTTTTCTTAGATTGTGAGTTAAAATTAATTAATCAACTTAGAACTTGAGGTTAAGCTCAATTCTATGAGTTGATGAGAATCACAAGTCAACTCATTTATCATACAGTGTAGTCTATTATAATTTCAACAGTTGTTAAAACAAAATGATAAAATAATTTTAAAAATGGACAAAGAATAAAAAATAAGTGCAAAAAAATAAACAAATTCAATAATAAAATCCTAATATATTTTAAATATATTTCATATCATATTTTTAAGCAAAATGATTAAGTTGAATGAAAGCTGAATTACTTAATTATACCTCATTCTCCACATCATTAGCCTCTTAATCTTTTTTACTTTCACCAAAATCATCACCATCACCGCCGCTACCACCCCTATTTTCACTCTTTATCAACCCTACGAATATCTCTCTCTCCATTGTTAAGCATGATAAAATGCAAGTATATAAATTTAGAGAAATTATTATGTGCGGAGACCGGACGTAGAACACCGCCTGGAGACCAACTAGAATGTGCCACGTCAGCGGTACTGATCCTCGACATCGAATACAGGATGACGCAACGCAATCTGATTGGTTTTCGAACGATGTTCGACATTCGCACAGAATAATTTTTTTATAAATTTATGATTTCTTTGGGATAGCTTTCTCATTGCTTTTTAACAGAGCTTTATAGTACAAAAAATTTCTAGTTCAAGAAATTTTTTAGAATTTTTTTAGACTAAAAAACTACTTTAAGAAGCATAAACAAAAACTATTCCAAACAAAGCCATAATTCACTACTAAAACTAGAGCAACATGCATTACATGCTAGTATATCAAATGCATATTATACTAAATCATACACTAAAGAAGAGATATGGAGAGAGGTCCCTAAAAAATAACTTCAGAATTTCTGTGTTGCTGAAACAAGCAAGGTGGTGTGGTTCCACCATTCAAAAACTCAGGCTCTTAACCATCAAGAAGGTCCAACACACATTACAAACTAATTATCTAAAGAAAAACCTCTTTAATTCCAAAAAAAAAATCCATCAATATTCAGGACTATCCATTTTCCTCTCATTAAAAAGAGAGAAATTTATATGAAACATAGAGCATCTTCAACAGTGAGCTCAAACTGGAGAGAGAACAAAATATAATTTCCTCTTCTTATCCTCCCTACCTTCCTCCCCCTCACTCTCACCACCTGGTCCCAATTCTGATGGTGGGTAGACAAACTCCACATGGCTTGAGGAAAAGGCCAAAAATTCATCTCTGTCTCCCACAAAACATTCATTCTCTCTTCAAATTGCGATTTTCCCCCACTTATCAGCACCAATAGCTTCAATAATCTGCAAAAAACTACGAATCAGAAAGCCTTAAACTTACAGTTTATACTGAATCACTACAAGTTTATTAACATAGATCAGAAATAAACTTGCAAAGTTCAACCTTTTTCTTCATATTTCCTGCAAAACTAACCCTCCATCACATACCCAAAAAGAAGATTCTTACTTAGCTTCTTTGGGTCGCTTTCTTACTGCTTCTCAAAGCAGCTTTCTATTTTTTTAGTAGAAAGCCGCTTTAAGAAACAGGAAGAAAGCAGTCCCAAACGAAGCCTTAAACATAGAAAGAGAGAAATTATTTCATAAGCAACTTCTTTTTTACTGAAAAATCCTATTTTTAAGTGAAACACGTAAGTTTGGGTGAATTAGCTTATGAAAACAGTTTGTTTGCGGGCAGAAAAATTGAAGGATAGGAGAAATGTTGTGAGGAATTTAATTTTTCTTTTTGTTTGTTTAAGAAAAAATTGCATCAGTACTTAAAAGGAGAAATTGATGTGGTACCTACTTAGATATGGGATGGATCTATTTGAATAGTAAAGCATTAATTAATACAAAATCAAATCAGGCTTTTAATGATTTATCATCTGGTAACAGCGACATCAAGCAGGGTATAAACAGAAGAATCTCTATCTGAGCATCAGCTTAGTGCTTTCATAAAAGCTTACCATCTTTCTTTTTCATTAGATTTCTGGCAAATAGAAGGCAGATGACCAGGAATCCAAGAGCTGCAGCCCCTCCCACTACAATGGCTACTGTCTTCCCTGTTTGCTGACCTGATTCAAAGGCAACCGGAAAAAGGAGAGAGCTTCAAATTTCCATGGAGGAAGAAAATTGTGTAAATTTAAATAACTTGTCTGCAATTCATTAGAATTTGATGGAAATCAGGAAGGATGCTGTGGAATCAATTTTTTTTTTTTTTCATTTTTTAAGAAGATTTAGATGTGCCTATAAACTACTCCTTTCCTAATTTGTGAAGGGGTAGTTGCCCACCTAATCACCCTATTAAAAAACTGCAAGAAAGCGAGCCATATAAGAAGATTATACTCTCACGTGAAAAATGACATATAAACTATCATTGATTGGATTGCAAGTTTGATATGAAATATGTGATATGGAAGTCGATAAAAGAAATTTACAGAAGAGGAAAAGTTAAAAAAAGAAAGTTCAGTAATTTTTTGAAATCCATACAAAATAATCGAGGACAGCTAGACCAAATGCAAATGGAAAGAACAGAAAGTATAAGATTCGAAGAACAATCCAAATCCAATTTCACAATCAAACTTGATGATTAGAGGAAGTAGGTATAAAGTGCATCTAATTAAACTTGCTAGTTTCATCACTTCGGAAGTGTCAGAAAATCCAAATTCTAAATAGATATCCAGATCGTAGATCAAAAGAAAACTTGCTTATAAAGTACTGAAAATCATCATGAATACCTACCTCCTCCAACGCTGTCTCCACCCCCGCCGCCGCCGCCGCCGCCGCCACTCCCGCCGCCGTGGGGAACTCCGTTGGGGTAGTAGTTGTAACTAATGTAGCACTTATCAAGATAAACCTGGCCGGAGCTAGCCCCCCCGCACTCGACTTGCGACTTCTGCACCGCTTGCTGGACACACTCGCCGCAGTCAGCTGAAGAGAGATCTCCCTCACACTGCGCCATGGCGTAGACCGATTGGTAACTAGTGGCGAAGAATCCTCCGCCGCCAGTCACCCCGTTCTCCAAGCTCGAGAGAGCGGTGTCCCTCTTCTCCTCAAATCCCTCCCCACCACCCCCACCAGAACCGCAGGTCTTGTAAAGCATCTGTGTGCCCGACACCTGCGGAAATCCAGAGATCTCGTAGAGCGAGTAGCAGCCAGCAAGCTGGATGCGCGCGGCCACCGTAGCTCCGCAGAGAGAGCTCCACATCTGAACGGCTTTCGCAACGCAAGCGGCGCAGTCGGAGGAGCTGAGATCGCCGCGGCATTGGAAGAGACCAAAGATTGGTTGGCCGGAGGAGGATGAGGTGGTGGTTTTGTAGAACTTGGAGGCCGCCGATTGAGAGATAATGGTAGAGGATAGAGAGGCAAGGGTCTGCTGTGCTCCGCCGGCGCCACCGCCGGGAAATTGCTGGTTTGCGCAGCCCTTATATATGAGATCGTAGATGTTGGCGGCGGAGGCGCCGGCAAGTAGCGATACGAGACTGAGGAGAACCGTCGGGAATAGGAGAATCGGTTGTGGGGCAGAAATTGGGAGAGAGGGGGGCTTGGAAATGCCCATCTAGGGTTTTTCTCTCTCCCCACCGCCTCTTCGCTTCAGTCTTTCTCTCTCTATCTAGCTGTGATTCTCCTTCTCCATGCCTACTCTCTCCTCTTTTCAATTACTCGTTTCTCTCTCCACAGCCTTTTTCTTTTTGCCAACTTTTTGCTCACCTTGTTCATATTATGTTATTCAATGAAAGATAGGAAGATAATAGACCTTCAGTTTTTCAGTTTTTTTTTTTCTAATTTTCTTTGCAACGGTAGTAATAACCTCATTTATTTGAAAATTTAGAATTAGGAAAAATTATTATGTGCGGCATCTGGACATCAATTTAGACGCACCACGTCATCTAATGCATAATGCATTTGATGATGTGGTGCGTCGTGATTGATCTCCAGACATGCTCCGACACCACACAAAATAATCTCTCTAGAATTATGTGCTGAAATGTATTGAATTGAGTTTGATTTGATATATCATCAAAAAATTATCTTGATCGGGCACGAATCTCGAGGCAAAATCAACCAGGAAACTTTAAAAATTAAATTCGGAATCATCTGAACTCTGATTTCAGCAAACTTATTGTCAAACTGAGCGTCTCGGAAATACGAACCCAACGACACCAAATTCAACTCAATCCGAGCCCAAATGAGCCCAAATGAAAGCACCCAAAGTAATGTTGGAAAGTTCATACTGCAATTTGAGTTATCAAACGGTCTTCGATTTTAACGAGCTTATAATCAAATCGAACGGCTTGGCGAGACGAATCCAATGAGCCCAAGATCACTAAATTCCGACATCATTAAGACCTTCAAATGTCTGACGAACAGTGCACGATCAAGGGATCAATATCAAACGTCCATTCGACCACTCCATATTTGCCCCTGATCTCACACCTATTTACAAGCTATGTCACTCCATAAAATCTATAAATAAACCCCTCATTTCTCATGAGATGAGACCCAAGCAAGAAGATTAAAGCTTCGTTTGTGGTAGATTTCTTAATATTTTTTTAAAATAATTTTTTAATACAACAAATTTAAATTTAAATTTTTTTTATTAAAAAGCTAATTTAAAAACAATAAAAAAATCTGTCCCAAACGAAATTTAAATTCAGAAAATGTTTTTCTAATAATTTGTATGATTCCCAAAAATAATTTAATTTTGGTATAATTTTAAATTAATTTAATCAAGTATGAATGTAGGCAAAAAATTTCTGAGCAAAAATATAGTAACAAAAATTTCAATTCTAAGAAATTTTACACTCAAAATAATGTAATTTTAAAAATTACTTCAATTTTGAGAATTTTGGTGGCTTTTATTTTAGTATTATTAATCACTAATCATTTAATTAAAGTTTGGTGATCTATTTTCATTAGAGAACAAACACGTGAGTGGTTAATCTATAGTTTATTATAACATTTTGATTGATTTGTTTTGTATATAGGTTTGCAAAAACTCTAAATAATTTATATTCTCTAATCTCACATGGGTTTTGGACTAATCTCACATGGATTCTAGAGAGAGAAAAATGATAAGTCTTAATGACTAGCTTTTTGATTTAAAAAATCATTGACAATATGGCAAGACATCCCCTTTTGAGCATGTGGTGAAGAGCAATTACATCATGTTTAAAATTGAAGAGGAATTATATATTGCAACTTTCAATATCTTATTTTATCTAGGGATGTCAAATTCGGGTCACAAGTCGGATTTGGGTCGAACTTGGAACTGACACGATACTAATTGATCAAACTCGTTATTGCGAACGGATCATGTATTTTAACCTGGACCAGACCTGCGCGGGTTGCTGGGTTGACCCAACACGCCCCGCTGTAGCGTTCTGATTAACGGGCTCATGCATGAGTCTGCACGACGCCGGCAGTCAGGGCTTATCCACGATTCTTCACGGCGCTGTAACAACATGAATGGTCGTCAGCGACTCAATAGTTAATCCATGTGGTCATGTCATCATGACAACATTGTCACTTGCAACGTTGGCAGCGCAGTGGCTCCGGTAGGTCGTTAGGTCGGTGTCGGCAGCATCATGTCATCACCGACAGCGGCAGCGTCAACTTGAACCGGGACGCGACGCGATTGGAGGTGACATGACATGATTGAACAAGACGAGATGGGCCTCGAGGTGACACGTGTTTTTTTCAAACGGGTTAAATCAGATTGATTTTGGGTTTTCGGGTCAACCCGAACCCGGCCCGTTTCGAAATCGTATCGGGTCCAACCTGGAATTTTCGTGTTGAGTTTTCACATCGTGTCAAATATTGACTCCCCTAATTTTATACATATAAGGCTTCATTTTGGACAACTTTCTTACTACTTTTTAAACAGCTTTTTAGTACAAGAATTTTAGTTCAATAAACTTTTGTACTAAAAAGTTACTTAAAAAAATAGCAAGAAAGTTGTCCCAAACAAAACCTAAGTGACAATCAAGATTGATAATTTCATAGAGAAAAACATTATAGTTACCATATGCACTAATTTAATTATAGATCTTTAAATATTTGTCAATGTAATTATTTCCAACTATTCAAATGGATATTCGTTGATAAATTTGTATTAATTACATAATTATTCAAGTTAACTATTCAAGTGACTATTTGATTTACCATATGCATTAATTTTATTATTTAGATTAATAATGTTAGTATTCAGCTGACCATTAAATAATGAAGTTGTATTAATTATCTGACTGTTCCGACTATTCAAATGACTATTCAGTAATAATGAATTTGTTTTAATTAAGTAATTATTCAAGCTGGTTATTTAGGTGAACATTCAGTTTACCATCTGCACTATTATTATATATACAATTAATGTGATTTTTTTTTTCATCCATCCAATTGAGCTACCATTTCTCCTAAAATGCCTTTGAAATGTTTTCCTTTGTGTTCCTAATGATAGTCCTTGAGATCATTTTTATGGGGAGAGAAAAGTGTGTGTTTAAGGAAAAATTATTATGTGCAGACTCCGGAAGGAACTTTTATTAGGTCCTCTGACCGGATGTAGCTCTACATTCGGTCATCACTGAGTTACTCGGTTTTTGCTCGGTATTTGCTAGGTATTGCTTGACAATAACGAGAAATACTGCTCTGTGAAGACCAATATCGAGCAATACCGAGTAATACCAAAATACCGAGTTTTTCTAGAAAAAACTCAGTTTTTTTTGGTATTACTCGGTATTGCTCGGTATTTTGTCTCCACATAATGATATTTCTCGTTATTGTTGGTATTGCTCGGTATTTGCTAGGTATTTCTCATTTTGTGCCTGCTACGTGGCACGATCTCAGTGCCGGCCGAACGTAGCTCTACGTACGTTCACCGGACCAAATAAAACCTCCCATGCATCCAGAGACCAACTAGAAAGTGTCACATCACTTTTTTGCTCAATATCGCTTTGTACTGAGTGACGTGATGCGTTCTAGTTAGCCTTCGGACCGTCCAGTGTCCGCTCAGAATTATTTCTCGTGTTTACGTGCATGTGAGCAGTGGACATCTTTCAATGGGATGGCAGAATTCTTAGAGAAGTATGTGTGGATTCCACCAACTGAGCATGGCCAGGGAATCTTGATACAACAATTTTATCCATGTTATAATGATTTTATTTTAATTCTAGCAATTTGCATTTTGTGCACGTGCAATAAAACAAGTTTATGTAACATGAAATGAAAGTACACTAATATGTACTTATCACGCTCTTTTATATGCTGCATACGAGCCGAGCGACAAATATAACAAGAATTGTCCATTCATCAACAATTAGAAGCTCAAATATGTCTACCATAATATCTACTTATAATATCTTATATAGTGTTTTTTTTAACTAGCTTCATCCCATATAACTCAATATTATTAAATTAAACTAATTTAAGTTTTGATATATTTGATGATAACAATAATATTCATGACTCATTTGACATTGTGTGATTAGGAGTTAGTACGCTCGAAGTTTATCATTAATCACAGCTCGATTAAGAGTTAGTATGTTCGAACACGGGCAGAGAGACTAAAAGAAATAACTTTCCCAATCGAACAAGCAATTCAACATTCTTCAACTTTTTTTCTTTTTTAGATGTTTTTAGAAGAAATTTGATAGCCAAAACTTAGGCTAAAATAAAAATTGAAGTAGGCCATGTAATGTTCTTATTCTAGACAAAAAAAAATCACTATAAATTATTTATCATTTTCTTCACTAGATGTTGCAGTAGCCTCCTCGATGACAACCTCCTATGCTCGATGTCATCGGAACCAGCCTTTGTTGTTGTTACTAGCTGCCACAAATATAACTTATTGTTATCTGTTGGTCACTGATCATCATCATTATAAGGTTAATTATACATTGCTATTAGTTTACTTCAAAAAATTACCGATATTTATTTTACGCTCATCCAAATATTTAATTTTATTATTATTATTATTATTATTTCAATTCGTTTCTTTTTCATCCAAGGAAACAACCCCTAAAATGTTCAAAATAAATATGTGAGGTGTTTTAGATGTATTGAAATCTGCTGAAGGATTAATAAAAAAGACAACATATGATGTGTGACATGATGTTCTGAACTATCAAAATTTTCAATTATTCAACATGATTAAGACATAGTGTGACTTCTTACATTAAATATTTCAGGTCATTGTCTCATACAATCAAAATAACTTTTAAATATTTTAAACAATAAAATAAATAACAATCAACTTTATGCATACATTTATGACATCTGCCACACATAATAATTTCTCCTAATAATGTCATGTATTTTCCTTCCTAGAGTGCCATTGTGTTAAAAAACTAGTCATATTAAAGAATATTTGAACCAATCTAGTCGATGGTATCACAATCATGTGATTGCTCGTACTGGTACTTTTTTTTGTGACAAGAAAACACTGTCTTTAGGCCAGTGAAAATCCCGGTCGACCTAGCATGCAACCCATACCAATTTATACGAGCCAACACTTAAGGCTTTCACTGCTTGCCAAGGGATTCGAACGAGGGACCTAGGCTTTGCACAGCAGGCTCTTCACCACCCTGACAAGCAGCGTGTACTGGTACTTAAATTGAATAAGCTTTATTGACTAGGTACATAAAATGAAAAACGGGGAAAAAATAAGAGAAATATAGTCAATAGATGTGAGAGAATGGACTGGTCCAGTAGGCTAAAGCGACCCAAAGCTAAACGAGAACCAAGCCTGCTACTTACCTACTCGAACAAGCTTCTTAGATTTGGAACACAGATATTCTAATCTAAAAATTTTTACAAGTATCAATTTTTTTATCTATAAATATTTTATTATTTTATTATATATTTTAAAGCAAATGTTTTTATTATTTTTAAATTTACGTACAAAAATCAAAACTCCATTGTTTTGTTATACAAATTATTTAAATATCATGAGTCAAAATTTTAAACTAATTTGATGAAAATTCCACCAAAATATTATGACTTTTTTTCATTAATTCTCTCCAACATAAATTTTTATTTATTTATAAGCTCAAATAAAAAATTATCTCTACCTCATCATTAACTCCAACAAAAATAGTTGTCATATTAATGCATGGCTATCTTCTTTGGATCATAGGAGAAATTATTTTGTGCAGATACCGGATGATTCAAAGACCAATAAGAACACACCACCTCATCCGGTACATAACAATACCGAGCAAAAAAAATGACGTGACGTGTTCTGATTGGTCTCCGGATGCCATACGGAGTCTGCACAGAATAATTTTTCCCTTCAAAGCCACCCACAGCTATCTCAACAATAAGTTTTTTGTTTTAGGTTTAAGTTTTTTTATTTGTCTTTGCTTTTAAATGAAAAATAATCTCATATAACTAATCCATAAATCATTATGAATTGTTTTCCAATAATTTCTCTTCACTAAATGATAATTGTCCTATGCGCAAAACTCAATGGCTATTTGTATGAGAAAGCCATAAAAGAACCAAATTCAAACAATAGCTGATTTGCATGAAAGACAAGACTTTATAAGAAAACTCCTAAGGTTAAAAAAGCTCTTGAAAATTGATTTATTGCTAATTAAATAAAAGAAATAAATCAATTTACATAAAAGTTCATCTAATTCCACAACACAATGTTTAATGAACTAATTTCAATGCATTTTCTCCATGAAAAGTTCTTCATAATAATTTCCTCCACGCTTTGTACATTCAAAAATATTATCATAACAAAAAATATAGGATTTATCAGGGGATTTACATACATATTATAAAGTTTTTATAAATTTCTATATAATTTTTTTAATAATTTAGATAAATTTAAAATGATAATAATTCTGACAAAAATTATAATATGCAAGTAAATCTCCCATATTTATTTTTATGAAAAAAAAATGGTTGAAAAAGAGGCAGAAATAGAATAAGTATATGACATACACCACACGAGAAAGGAAAGAAACGAAGAATTGCAGGCCTTACAAGTCATTCAATCACCGCTGGCTACTGCTGCTCCAGCTACTCGTGCTACTGTTATCATCTTCTTCATTCTCACCCGCATATTGCGCAGCAAGATTAAAGCAAGACATCGCCCTAGGCCTCCTCGGCTTTGCCCTTCTGGACCCCCCTTCATCATCAGTTGCCGCCGGCGATTGCCCCCCTTTCTCCCATCCCATCTGATCCTCCACGGCCCAAATCTCCGATCTCCACTTCTTCAGCTTCTTTTCCAAAACAACTCGCTCCTTCTCCCCCGACCCGCCCACCGACCCGTTTCTATCCAGAGCCGCAGGCTCAGGCTGAGGTTGCGGAAGCCGTGGCTGAGCGGCGACGAATCCCTTTAACCCATCCTTCTTCCTCGGCTTGGCGGACATGGCGGCTGCCATTAGATCGTGGTAGGCGAAAGCGGAGGTGCGGAGATTGGCGTAGAGCGGGAGGCTACAAACGTAGGGATCGGCGATGCCGATGCCGATGTTGAGGATACCCTGCGGACGGAGGGAAGTTGGGCGGCGGACTTGGAGGGCGAAGAATCGGGTGGAAGGGGAGAGGTGAAGGGTACTGAGAATGGCGCGGGTGGTGCCGAGGAGAGTATCGGGGCCGGGAAGGAAACGAGGGCGGGCAGCGTAGATGTTGATTTGGATGGCGGATGTGTCGGAACAGAGAGTGGAATCGTCGATGCGGAAGAGGAATTTGTCGTTCCAGGTGGGGGAAGTGTGGCCGATGGAGTCGAGACGGGTGCGGAGGCGGTGGGAGGGGTGGAGCCAAGTCACGGCGTAGGTGTGGAGGGAGCGGGAAGAGGGGAAGAGGTCTTGGGCGGATATTAGGGTTAGCTCGAGGAAGTTGAAGGTGGACGGAGGCGCCGTTGGGGAGAGGAGGAAGTCGCCGCCGTTGGTGCCGCTGACATCCGGCGACATTTTTAGTAAGAGGTGGTGGGAATTTGGGGTTGGAGGAACGAGGAAGGACGGAGATCGTGTAGGTTAAAGAAGGGGGAAGAGAGGAAGGTGCGGTGGAAGGGAAAGCGGAAGAGGCGAAGTCTCT